AAGACTGGAAACAAGGCAAGGATGTTTGCTGTCTCTACTTGTATTTAAGACTGTAATGGATATTCTGATCACTGCACTAAAGCAAGACAAAGAAATAAAAGGCATGCAGATAAGAAAGGAAGAAATAAAATATTATTATTGGGTGGCATGATCCTATACGTAGAAAATTTTAAGGGAGACACCATACACACACACACACACACACACCCCAAAACAAAATGAAAACAACAGCAAAATCCTACTAAAACTGTTAAAGAATTTCATTAAGGTTGCAGGATACAAAATAAACAAAAACTGAATATCTATCAATCTGAAAATGAAATGAAAATATTTCCACTCACAGTTGTATCAGAAAGAATAAAATACTTAGGAATATATTTCACAAAAGTACAAAACTTTTACACTGAAAATTATATAACATTGTTGAAAGGAATCAAAGGAGACCTGAATAAATGAGACACATTCTATCTTCATGGATTAGAAGCCTTAATATTATTAAGATTGTAATACCCCCTAAGTTGATCTATAGATTTTATATAACCCCTATCAAAATCCCAGCTACCTTTTTTTTTTTTTTTTTTGCAGAATTTCACCTTAAATTTATATGGAAATCTAAAGGACCTAGAATAGTTAAAACAATCTTGAAAAAGAACAAAGCTGGAGGACTCACACTTCCCATTTTCAAAACTTACTACAAAGCTACAGTAATCAAAACAGTGTGATACTGGCATAAGAACTGACATACAGCTTAATGGAATAGGTTTGAGAGTCCAGAAAATAGCCTTTACATTTATGGTCAATTTTTTTTTTTTTTTTTTTTTTTTTTTGTGACAAGAGTACCAGGTAATGCAATGGGAAAAGAATAGTCCTTTTGACAAATTATGTATGAACCACTGGAAAGGTGCATGCAAAATAACAAAGTTGGGACCCTACTTCACACCATATGCAAAAATGAACTCCAACTGGATCAAAGACTTAAAAGTAAGAGCTAAAACTCTAAAGGTCTTAGGAAACAAAGGGCTATGTATGAGCTTGGGTTAGACAAAGATTTTTTATGTACAATACCAAAGGCACAACTGATAAGAGAAAAAGATAAATTGGCCTTCATCAAAATTAAAAACTTCTGTTGTTTCAAAAGACACCATCACAAAAGTTAAAAGAACTCAAAATAGGAGCACACATTTGCAAATATTTGTGGATACAGCACATATTTGATCATGGGACTTTAATTCAAAATATGTAACAAATGCAATTCAATAATAAGACAAATAACCCAGGTAAACAATAGGCAAAAGATTTGAAAAGACAATTTACCCGAGAAGATAATGTGAATGACCAATACGCTCATGAAATGTTCAAAATCACTAGTCATTAGGAAAATGAAAATCAAAACTCTAACGAGAACTACTTCACACCCACCAGAATGACCATAATCCAAGAGACAGACAATAAGAAGCAAGGATGTAACAAAACTGGACCCCTCAAACACCGCTCATGGAAAGTAAAATTGTACATTCACTGTAGAATGAGTAATTCCTCACAAAGTCAAACATACCTAGAATTACCACATAAATCAGTAGTTCCATGCCTAGATATATACCCAAGAGACCAAAAACACCTGATCACACAAAACCTTGTACACATCCTAGTAGAAGCAGTATTGACAATAGCTAGAAACAAAAAGCAATCCAAATGTCCATCAGCTGGTGGATGGATAAACAAAATGTGGTATATTGTACATATGATAGAATATTACTTGGCAGTGAAAAGGAATGAAGTATTGATACAAGTTGTAAACTTTAAAAACTTTATGTGATGTGAAAGCCAGGGGCAAAGACCACATATTGTATGATCCCATTTACATTAAATGTCCAGAAAAGGCAAACCTATAGACACAAAGTTCAATAGTGATTGCCTGGGTTTGGGTAGGAGTAGGGAGTGCCTGCAAATGGGCACAAAGAATCTTTTTAGGGTGCAGGAAATTTTCTAAAATTTGAAGATGGTAATGCTTGCACAACTTTGTAAATTTTCTAAAAAAATCATTGAGTAGTATCCTTAAAATAAGTGAATTTTATGGTCTGTAAAGAATACCTCACTAAAGCTATTAAAAATAGCTTAAAAACTATTTTTTTAGTTTTTTGTGTAAAACTAAATTTTTTTAGTTTAGTTTTTTTAGTTTTGTTTTGTTTTGTTTTGTTTTTTGTAAAACCACAATGCAGTTTTATGTGTAAATCTGGCTTTTAAATATATATGACTACAAGACTTTTTATTTATTTTATTATTTTTCTAAAAGATTTTATTTATTCGTTTGAGAGAGAGAGCGGGAGAGAGGGCGAGAGAGCGAGTGAATGAGCATGAGCAGGGGAGGGGCAGAGAGAGAAGGAGAAGACTTTACCCTAAGCAGTGAGCCCCACACAGAGCTCCACCCCACAGCCCATGATATCATGACCAGAGCCAAAGGCAGGTGCTTAACTGACTGAGCCACCCAGGTGCCCCTACAAGTTCTTTCTAAGTTAGATCAGCCCCAATTCCCAAAGATAATGTGGCAGAGGCTCCCAACTCTTGAAAACCAATCCTAAACTAATATTATGGTTCTGTGAATAGATAGTTCAAGTGCATTAGTGCCTAGCACCTGTTAGGCTTCAATAGATGTTTACTGGAGGAACAATTAAACCCTCTTCCTGGTGTGATTTTTCTCTCCAAACACCTCATACACGAGATACCCAAAACTCAGTTACTTAGGGCAATTTTTTTTTTTATTTTAAACTAAAGAAAACTTAAATAAATACCAATGTCCCCAGAGGAAAACCTGCTAAAAGTGGGGTGGGTAGGATTCGATGGCCTAAAATGAGGTAACATATTAACTCCTTCATGCTACTGGACTCATTTAGTTTAGGAGTAGGGCTTGGGGAGTGGGAATGTGTGATTCACAGAATGAATCAGACATCCGAACTGACCAAGCTTTAACTAACAGGAGTCACGGCCGATCAAGAGACTGGAAATCTGTAGATGAACTTTTTACCACCATTGGCCAGAAGTGACACAGGTCCCCTGTGCTAACATTTCATTTTTTCCCTGCACTACAAAGAGGGCTAGGATATACAGGGGAGTAAAGAGATGTTTCAGTAGATCTGATGAGCACTGCAGTCCACCACATCAGTCCTCTGCAGCAGGCGACCCTGTCTCAGAGTTCTTTGCCAGAACCAAAGCTTCCTCTTTCTGGGTCCACCTAAGTAAGAACCACTGATCAACAACTTAGGATCTTTTGAAGCAAGGTTTGAGGCAGGAGACAAGCACCCTGCCTGGTGTCTCTAAAGAACTTGGCTTTTTTGGGGGGCGGGGGGGGGTAGCTAATCCTTGATTCACTTTTGTTTGCCCAACACTAAGGAAAGTAATCTGGTACGTGCTGGCAACCCACTGAGTGTATGTAATTTAGTTTCATCTCAGAGAAACAGGTCAAGTGAAAGCCTACAGTAGAGTAAAAACACCTCCCATCCTCCTATGATGTTCTTCAATAATAAGGTTGTTTTGTTTTTGTCTTTTTTTTTTTTTTTTTGGTTGAAATTCCTTCAATTCAATTGAATAGAACCAAGAAACACACTTAAATCCTGAGGCAAAAGGAGCAAGAATTGAGCCAAAGTGATTAACAATCATGTTTACTGTGTTACCTGCACCACCACGAACACCACACCTAGTAAAATTTGTATTTATATCACTAACCAACAAAATAAGTTCAATGCTTTAGAAGAATACAAGACCATGCCTTAAGATTTGTTAGTCCACCATGGGAAAGGGAAGTTACTTGGATAAAATCTCTTAGGAGGCTGCTACCAATCTGTACTCCATTATTTACAGTATTTAATCCTTTCATTTCCGGTCTCTGTTCTTGGAACCATCTTAATTTACATTATCAGTTTAATATTTTTCTATTACTATTTTCATTAGGTCTCACTCCTGCTGAAAACCCAAGACCAAACCCCTTGAATTCCAGCAATTTTGACTCTTCATGCAACTTAGGTCCTTTTTGCTTTTTTTTTTTTAAACAAAAAACCAAAGTCTCCAAATGAACCCTGTGCTGCAGCCTGAGGTAATTATTCTTTAGGCTTACACATATTTGCTAAGAGCTCATCTACTCCCTGGGATGCCACTTCCCTTCTTTTTGATCTACTGAAATTTTGACTATTGCTCAGGACTGAATCGGTTCCTAAGCTCAGTGTGAAGCTCTCCCCCTGAATATTTTAGCTCACACTGATCTACACTCTTGAAGTGCCTGTGGTCTACAATAGCATCTATGCATCCAGAACTTTCCAGAAGTTTTGACATAAATGTTTTGAGCTTCATTTTCCCAGCTAGAGTATGAGCTTCTGGAGGGACTTAATTTTATTATTTCATATTCCCATATAACAGAAGCCATTCAAGAAATACTTACTGCATACCTACTATAAGTTATGCCCTGTAGAGATATAGATGTGCCACTAAGTATATTTGTTAGTTGAATTACTACCTGAAGATTCTTTAAGATGCTGTATTTTGGAATTATATATTGGGCTGAATCCTAAAAAAAGTATTAAGTTTCTATTTCGAATATAAGTTATTCTTTATTAAGATTTTCCTGAACTTTCATGTTTTAGTTTTAATGAAAATCTCATTTTGAAAATATAAATGTTGGATTTCTTTTTTGAGAATTCATCCTTAACGTTAATTACCTACTGGTTCTGCTTCATATAACAATACTACGTTTTCCTCAGTCATTGGCAGATTTGTCTCTGAACTTCCTAATCTACAAAGATACACGAAATTTGGATCCAAAACTGATTCTAATTTTCTTTTCTATTTTCTGGTAGATGAATTGTCTATTATGCTAGGTATAATATACAAAAATACCCATTTCGCTTAAAAATTACAATAATATTACTAAGTGTTTCTTTAAACGCATATTAAAGCAACAACAACACACCACAGCTTTTTAGGGTATATAATAATATAATTACTCTTATTACCGTGTTCCCTTTAGCATCCAAAAATCCACTGATTATTTGGAAACAACATTCTTCCAACCTCACCCTAAAAACACTTTCTGAAAACTCCTCTTCCTGTCACTCTTAGATTGTGCCTGTATGTTAAATTCTCCTTTGACGCTTATTTCTTTAAAACTACCGAAAAACCGGAAAAGTTTCTTTAACTCTCAAATCTCTGTGTCGTAAAATCCTTTGTCAATTTACCCCGTACGCAGGAGAGGTTCTCCGTTTCTTTTTCCAGCGAATTACACAGTTGTCTCGGCAGCCTGATTTGCCAGTTTGGTTCCCGCTGTACCAGTTTGTGATTCTTTGTACAAATTAATAACCATGAAAAAGTCTAAAGCAGGGCAGTTTCAGATTAAATTATAGTTGCCTTTTCCCGTAAAGCAATTTGGTACCTCACAAAATTCCAGGCGAAGAATGAATGATAGAGCACGCACCAATGGGGAGTGGAGGAGAGGATTTTGTCGAAGTTTGCAACCCAATCCTGGGGAGCCAGAGGTGGGAATTTTAAAACGTGTTTGTTTTTTTTTTCCCTTGGAATTTTCTTAAAGTGGTATCGCCGCCTGTTGATGTTAAAGATTGTCAAAATCGCAAAATCGTTAGCTTAAAGCTTTTAGAGTGAGGCAAAATGTGAAAAAAGACACATTCAAATGGCCATACTGACACAGAGAATCATTTGGCTATTTTTGTGTCAGTTTCAGGGGCGTAGAAGTTATTGCAAGAGGATTCATTTTTTTTTATGATCAAACATCAGATGTTAACGCGTTATAATATTTCATTTTTTAAAGAAATGAAGACTACGTGGCTAACATTGATGCCTTAAAAATTTGTCGTCCTATTGTCAATCATTTTGGAATCACTTTGCAATATTAGGAGCCAGACTCGTTATTTGGGTCTATTCTTAACACCCTATTTTTGGTTTTACACAAACTGTAGGTTTCCTCATTATAAGCCTAGCAAAAAGTTATTAAGCACTACAAATTCTTAGGTATTTAGCAATGTGTATCAAAATTCTTAGAATTACATGACATTCCCCATGCCATATACTTCAGTAACTTCTGAAAACCAGGTTAATAAATAGGAAATTAGTATTTCATTATAACTCGTATCCTGTTTTAGAGTAGATGTTATTTAGTATAACTCTCCTTTTGAGATTATTCATCTCTAACCGTAATTAAATAAACCAACGCGAAACTGGTTGAAAAGTCAAGGTTACTTGACAATGCATCGATGATAAATTCATCAGCAGCAAGCTTTTCAAAGAACAATGAATGGCAGCCGTTTCAGGAGAGGCAATTTACAAAAACTCTTCGTTTCAGAAAGTTGCCAAATTAACAAAATATTTTAGAAATAAAGTTGTTTTTAAAATGTTCCCTAACAGTGTTTGGAATTCTTTTCTTTTTAACCGGGATAAAGCTCTCTTCCTTTGATGTCTCCTTCGGCTGACAGGAATTTTCGTCTTGAAAACATATTTATTGACGGCCTACTCAGTCACGCTAGGAAGTGCGGTAATATTTAACTTACTAAGTTGCTATTGTCCTTTTAAGCGATCGTTCGTCACAATAGTCCTCGGATATTTCAAGAGTGGAGAGGAGACTAGGTCACCCGCCTCACCTTTGCAACAAACCTGTCTGTGCGCACAGCGAGCCCTTAAGTCCCATGGTCCCATGCTTAGGCTCACCACTTGAAAAGTAACCTTGGCCATCTTACATCAACCCACAGGACCTCAGTTTTTCATTCGTTAAGCGAGTGTAATAAAACTATCTGTGTCATGAGATTGCTGTGAGGGTTTAATGAGATTATGCATAGCTCTTAGAGCGCTGCCTGGTACACAGTAAGCGCTCGGGTGTTATTATTGTTGTGGGAACTCCCCAATGTATACAATGAATGAGAGCCGCAGCGCTTGAACGAATGTATGAATTAAAGAACACCTCAGTTACAGGCAATTCCTGACGTTCGAGCGCGCTAAATCTCCCCCTCAAAAAGCAAAGCAAAAGACTGCAATGCACCCAGCAAAACTCCAGCCGGAGCCGGAAGCCAATGTTGAGCCGCGGGCGGCGCCAGTCTGGAGGAAGCCGCTCTCTTGGCCAATAGGCACATCGCTTGGAAAGCGAACTTCTCGTCCATGCAGTTTTGAAACCGCGAGAACAGGGACGAATTATCGCGATGTTCCCTCTTTCTCTCCACTGCTCCCTCTTCCCCCACTCTCGGTGGTGCGCGTTAGGGCCCGTCCCGCCCCGCCCCTCGCCGTCCGCACCTCGCCCCGCCCCCCGGCACCCCGCCCCTCCCGCAGACCCTCGGCTTGCAGTTCAGCGCCGCCTGCGCCCGGAGCGCTGGCTCCGCCGGCGCCGAGGTGAGTGCGATCGCCTGTCGCGTCGGATGGCTCGCGTGGCTAAGGGCACCCCCCCTGGCCCGGCCCCCGGCTAGCGCGCCGGGTTCGGCAGAAGCGTCCGGGCAGCGGCGAGGGGTCCCTGGCCGGAACGGGCCCGTCCCGGCCTAGGGTCGCCATAGCTGCCGGGCCCTCCCCGCCCTCCGTGGCCAGAGAATCCCGATGCCGGGTCTGCGAAATCCCTGCCACTGGGTTCGCCGCTTCCAAACCGTAATGATCTTAGTTAGTGTTTGGTTAACACGGGCAAAGCGGCAGGTGTTTTGCTTCAGACTTACTGAGAAAACAATATTTTACAAATGCTTTTAATGTACAGTTTTTAATTCTCTAATCTCCAACATTAGGAAATTGGAGTGGGTACTCTACTGAATTAAATACGGAAGTCGGTTGGAGGGTCTTCTTTCCTTTTACACACGCCCGCTTAAAATGTGTGGAATTTTCTTAAGGTGGGAGGGTTTGTTTATTTGTTTTAAACAAGAATAAAGTGGATTGGTGTTTACATGTCAGAAAACTTGTGGAGGTGCAGTTGACTCTGTTCAGTTAATGCAGTTAAGTATACCATTTGTCTTTAATCGTAGATAAAAGGTAGTGAAGGGAATTTATGTAAGAAAATTACCCATCCTGTTACAGGCTGTATATTGCCAAATGAATGCGTTTTGGGAAACCATTAGCATTATTTATTATAAGCAGCTTTCAGATTTCATTTGCGGAGACTTTATCTTCCAAACTGCCTTGGTAGCCAGTGCATTTTATTAGGGTGTAATGATGTTTTAAAGGCAGCCCATTCCCAGCCCTAAGGATCAGAAGGAAAACAATTAGGTTATACCAAATTCTCTCTCTGGATCTCCCATTAGGGAGGGGAGTGTGGATTTTGGATATGGTTTTGCTTTGTAGTCTTACCTTTGTATAAGCTTTGCCCACTACTTAAGAAAATGATGGTAGAGGAGAAGCACAGCCCCCACTGAAATGCTTGAAAGGCTATATTGTAAGGCAGACATGGGCTTTGGAGTTGGTCCACCTGGGTTAGAATTCTGGCAAGTTACTCTCTGAGAAACTGCTTGCATATCTGTAAAACAGGGTAAAAATGTCTAGCGCGATGCAGAGTTGTACAGATTAGGATTTTTTTAAAAATATTTATTTATTTATTTTTTTATGAACATATAATGTATTTTTATCCCCAGGGGTACAGGTCTGTGAATCGCCAGGTTTACACACTTCACAGCACTCACCATAGCACATACCCTCCCCAATGTCCATAACCCCACCCCCCTTCTGTCAGCCCCCCTCCCCGCAGCAACCCTCAGTTTGTTTTGTGAGATTAAGAGTCACTTATGGTTTGTCTCCCTCCCAATCCCATCTTGTTTCATTTATTCTTCTCCTACCCCCTTAACCCCCCATGTTGCATCTCCACTTCCTCATATCAGGGAGATCATATGATAGTTGTCTTTCTCCGATTGACTTATTTCGCTAAGCATGATTCCCTCTAGTTCCATCCACGTCGTCGCAAATGGCAAGATTTCATTTCTTAGATTAGGATCTTTATGGCACGGAGCTGACACTCAGGATGTAGTATCTGCAAGATGACCATAGATTACAGAGTGAAAAATATCTACCTTGCAGTGTTACATGTCCTACTTCCATCCACCCATCAGCTGTTTGAGGGTCTGCTTTGTGCTAGATACTGTGCATAGGCAGGTATACTTAGAGTGAAGAAAGCAAGATAAGATTTCTGCCCTCAGGAGCTTACAGTCTCTTGGGTAGTTTGACAATAGACAGGTACACCAATAAATATTTCAATTACAGATTGCAAGGAGTCCTACATATAAAAGAAATGGGTTTCTCTGAAAGAATAACAGGAGAATAGTTTTGGATAGGGAAGTGATTTTTACTTTGAAACTCAGAGTTGATGGGGTAGTGTTTTCCAGGCTAAAAGGAGAAAAGCAAATGGTGTGCAGAGTTTGGCTCTTTAAAGAGACTGGGAAAAAAAGGACTAGAAAAGCCCAGGAGCTTGGTGGGAAGCCAGGGAGGGTGCTGCCTGATAAGGCTGGAGAGGCACTTGGGACCAGATTGTGAGGAGCTCTCAGTGCCTGATAAGAGTTTGATTTTCTAAAAAAGCTTCTGCAGGTGGTATTTAGTTGATACGTGTGCACTAGGGAGTGAGTTTATCTGGGAAAGGTATGGGATTTATGTTTTAAAGGCTCCCTGCTAAGTGATTATGCAGATGGCCAGCCGGGAGATAACTGGCTTTTGGTTTTGGCTGGTGGAGAGATGTGGATGGATTTGAGATGTGTTTTGGAGGTAGAAACCACCAGCTTTAAGATCAGCTGGAGGGGGCAGGTGAAGGACAGGATGGAATCATTCATGACTTCCAGCTCTCCGGTTTACACAGCTGGGTGGATAGAGGTGTGTGCCATTAATTGAGATGAGAAACACTGGGGAGAATTTGGACTGGTCATGGGAATCAAAATATATTCAGTTTGAGGCACTTGTGAGACTTCTAACCTGCTTCAGGTTTACTATTTAAGTGAATTGTAACCCAGGAAACTTCCCTTTCCACACAGAATCATTGAAGTTGTTTCTAGCTTAGTTCCCCCTTGCTTTACAGGTGAGAGAATTAAAATGTAGAAAGATGAGTATGTTGTTCAAAGTCACATACGTCTCATAAAAATAGATAGGTGTGTAAGTGGAATCAGTAGGAGAAAGTTTTGAATTCTCATGTTGCTTTGGGGTTATTATTGACTTCTATGTTGTCTGCTCTTTTAGATAAAATGACAAGTGCTTTCTTATTAGCTAGGATTTGGAGTTTGGAAATAATAGAAAATAACCAAAAAAGTTATCAAAACTGCTTATCAAAAGCTTGTTACTACATTTTGCACTAACTTGATGTTAATTCCCAGTGAAAGAAGTTTTTCTTAAAAAAAAAAAAAAATCCTTTGAAAGATACTTTCTCTTGAGTTTGAGAAACGATGCCCAGGAAGATGAGAGTATAATCTTTGAACAAATCTCAACTTTTTAGTGTTTTCACATTTCCTTAGTATCCTATGGAGTCCTGTGAGTCTGTGTATGTAAAGAACCCAGGCTTTAAAATCCACTGGACAAGCCTCTTCTCTACCCCAAGGTGGGGAAAAAAAGTCCTTGCTTTTATCCCTTATCAGCTGTTTGACCTTGGAGAAATTATTGAAGCTCTGAGTTTGTTTCTTCTTATGTGAATGAAGTTTGTTTCTGCTCTGTGCCTAGTTGATAAGATGGTAAATGTTATTTTTCTTCCACCCTGTTACTTTCAGAGCTGGAAGTGAATTTATTTATTTATTTAAAAATTTTATTTATTTATTTGACAGACAGAGATCACAAGTAGGCAGAGAGGCAGGCAGAGAGAGAGAAGGGGAAGCAGGCTCCCTGCCGAGCAGAGAGCCTGATGTGGGACTCGCTCCCAGGACCCTGGGCTCATGACCTGAGCCAACCCACTGAGCCACCCAGGCACCCCTGGAAGGGAATTTCATCTGTTCTGGGTTCTGGCCTTTACCAATAAATTGCTGTCTCCATTTTTTTTTTTTTTTTAAATGTCAGGCAACTGAGGCCCTGAAAGATTGTAATAAAATAATACAAGGTTCTTATTTCCTGGTCAGTATTTCTTCTTACATTGAAATAATAAAACCGTATGTTCCTGGACATGCTTCTTTACTACTTCTGATACTCTACAAAGCTAAAAAGAAAGAAAGAAAAAGATAAAAGAAAGAGAATAAGAATATAGGACAATATTCTACAGAAATGAAGAAAGTGAAGGTATCAGTGATCTAGATGTATTTTTATATATGTTTATAAATATTTTTGAAATACCTTAAGCTAAACATAAAATGAGGGAGTTCAAGAAGGAAATGGCTTTGCCATATCTGCTTTTTCAGCTTTCTTTAGTTGCAGGTTATAAAACTGGTCTCCGTTCTGTTAGGCATTCCTGTCTCAAGTTCAAGAACTATTTTTTTTTTTTTTTCCATTAGGACTGTGGCTGCTAAATGCTAAGTAAGCTTAAATAGTGAAGGCATGTTTAATGAATAGTTGCTCATTCTAATCTATATATGTGTGACAAATTTAGTTGTTAGGAAAGAAAAATACAGGGATTGAATGTGTAATTCTCTTTTTAGTGTCTGCGAATAGCTCTGTGTGCTAACTGGCTTATTTGGTAATGCTTATAACCAGTATCATAATTATTCAAATTTTTTTTTTGTTCTCTTTAGAAATGAACCAATTTTGACAAGATGTAGTGCTGCAGTGTGCCTGATGGGATATGTTCAGTCATGGCATCTGAACTCTGTAAGACGATCTCTGTGGCAAGGCTGGAAAAGCACAAGAATTTGTTCTTAAATTATAGGAATCTGCACCATTTTCCATTGGAGTTACTGAAAGATGAGGGACTACAGTACTTGGAGAGGCTCTATATGAAAAGGAACTCCCTTACAACCTTGGTACAGTATTATATTGCATTTAAAACATTTATAATGTGGGCCTGACCAAGATATAGCTTACTTATCCTAAGATATTCGGACCACGTTGTACATCCCCTCTTGTTATATAAACAGGTACTAAAAATGCATATACAGGGGGTTCCCATTAGCTGAGGATTCATTATCCGAGTCCCTGCAGTATGGGGTTGCAGGAAGAGTTCTAAGGGAAAGCAATATATTCACTAGATATACCGTTTATAGATTTAGTCTCCATTCCAAAACCCCACTACACTTAGCCTGTGCATCTGTCTCTGTTTCTCTGTGTGATAAGTTTCCTAGATGATTTTTGGATGTTACCATATCCATTGGACCAGTTAAAAAGTAAAGAAGAGAAAGGCCATCAAAGATGAATGACCTTGAGTTGCATTTAAAAAGAGATGATTTGAAGATTAAAATATTAAAACATGCATTTGGGAAGCTTGATATAGCCTTTCTTTTGGGGGGAAGCACATAACAAAAGTATCCTCCCAAACCAAAAAAATCTTTACGATTGCATTGTGAAAATCAAGTGATGTTGAATTGGACTATCATCCAGTTTGTTGAAAAAATTTTTGCTGTAGAGACAACATTTGATTCACTCTTTGTGTTGTAAGAATAAGCAGATACTTATCATTATAACCTTATTTTTTTATTATATATAGGGCTTTATTATATATTTCATTACATATTAAGTTTTATTACATATCAGATTTAAAAAACTTTAAAAATTTTCTTAAGAGAATGTATTACTCTGGCTTCTTATTCCTACTCTTATTGTAAAATTTAGTCTCTGTTTTAAATGTATGTGCTTTATGTGATCTTTTCTGGTTATCACTTAACCTTGTTTGAGTCTTACACTTGAATTCTTATTCTTACTCATTTTATGATGTCTTATTTCTTTGTGAGCAGACCTATTTTTAATCCTCTTTTCTTTATTGGACCATTCTGCCTATTTGAAAGTATGCCTTACTGGCTTCATTTAAATGGAGTGTTTTTGTGGAAAAGTTTTATTTAATTTGTCTAAAATACCTCCAGTGAGTAGAGAACGTAAAATTTGTTTATCTTTGCTGTATCTGACAGTAAATGGAAATATGTCTTTCATTTTTAGTGTTTGGCATTTTGGCTTATATGTTGTTTTGAGTGCCTACTTAGGTTTTTTTAAAAGTAGATTTTTCAGTTTTAAAATTTTAATTATCTTAGTGATCAAACTTAAATAGCATAATTATAGTAATCCTTTTTGTGAAATCATCATTGCATGAGTTGAAACCACATTTACCAAGTGTTTTTACCCCACTTTGAGGAAGAAGTGTTGTAGAAATAATTTGTCAAGGATTATAGCCCAGATTTTCCCATGTTAAGGAAAAGCTGTGAGAGGATTACTTCTTAACTATTAGTCAAAGTCCACTGGAGTAGAGTTTGTTCAAAGAAATTGACCTTCATTTCTGAAAGTTAACAGTGCGGTTTTGGTTTTGTGGCGGTTCCTCAGCTGCAGTTTTCAATTTATGAAAATATTTAGGTATCTACTGTACAGTTGGAACCAATATTCATAATGGCTTATAAGCATACTTTTTAAGTACACACTTTACTGCTCTTTTGTTCATCAAAGATTAAATTGTTGCATATGTTTACAATGATAGGCGTATGTGTTTTATTTGAATGCCTTTTAATGAGCTAGAACATCTGATTCATGTGCATCAAAGAGCTTTTAAATTGTAGAGTGCTATACAGAGATCAGGGTGGTAGGGATTGTAATGGACATTCCATTCCCAGACGGTACTGAAAACCAGCGTAGTCTAGGACTGGCTTAACACACAGGTTTTTGAAAGCAGATGAAGTAATACTTATCCTAGAGTGCTCTAAACTCTACTTTAGGCTTTGAGGATGTTTGCTGGTGTTATTGATAAGGTATATTTCCTATGTTAGATTTGGTATGTGGAATTTGACTTACAACTATAATACTGTCCAAAGGAAAAACAAAACAAAACATGTCATTGGAAACAGATGGTATCTTTAATACCATTATGGGTTCATTGACCTTTTTTTTTTTCGTAGGAAGCTTGGGAATCTGCCAGTAATTTCCATTTTCACACTGTTTTATTATTTATTTATTAACACTGTTTTATTGTGTTTAAATCCTTTCTCCTCAATATTCCCCCTCCCTTGTCTCCCCATCCCTCACTCTATGAAGCCTTGCTGTGAAAAGAGAAGTTGATGATGCACACCTCTGCCCTTCTTCCTTTTCCCCGTCAAGGTGCTTGGTATAGGGTAGTGGTTTATATTTTGCAGGATGATTGTATATTAAATACTCCGAATTTGGGGAATGCTGCATTAAAACTAAAACACAGCAAAAGCTTTTATTATGCATTTGAAAGACTAAACTCATATTTTAATTACAAAAATGATACATGCCCTAATATCAGTGAACATAGAGGAACATACGGAAGGTAGTCATGTCTTCAGCCAGTTATATACTGTAGGGTAACCAATGTTAATAGTTCGGTTGTGTCCTTCTACTGCTTTACTTGTATTTATGTAATTATATATTTTATCCCCTTTTTAAACGACAAAATAGAATCACACTATATATATTTCTTTGTGGATTTCTTTTTACTTCATGCTATTCTCATTCCACTAACCTCTAGGCCAGGAGGTACATATACATCCTCATTTGGGCATGTGTGTTTGTGTATACGGTCAAGTCATAAAAGTGGGATTGATGGGTCAATGGTAGGCACATTTTACATTTTAAAGTACTTAAAAAAAAAAAAAGATTTATTTATTTATTTTAGAGCGATCACAAGTAGGAAGGGTAGAGAGTGAGGAAAAGAAAATCTAAAGCAGGCTGACCCCGAGTCCAATGCCAGGCTTGATTTCATGACCCCAAGACCAGGCTGAGCTGGAACCAAGAGTCAAATGCTTAATCAACTGTGCCACCCAGGCGCCCCATTTTAAAGTACTTTTTATCAGTACAGTTGATCCTTGAACAATGCCAGGGTTAGGGGTGTTGACCCCATGCTCAGTCAAAAATCGATGTTTAACTTTTGACTACCCCAGAACTTATCTTCTAATAGCCTACTGTTGACCAGGAGCCTTGCTGATAACATAAACAGTTGATTAATACATGGTTTGCTTGTTACATGTATTACATATTATGTTCTTACAATACAGTAAACTAGAGAAAAGAAAATGTTATTAAGGGGGCACCTGGGTGGCTCAGTCAGATGAGGATCCGACTCTTGAATTCAACTCAGGTCTTGATCTCAGCATCATGAGATCAAGCCCCATGTGGGCTCCATGCTCAGCAGGGAGTCTGCTTACGATTCTCTCCCTCTGCTCCTCCCCGCTACCCCCATGCACTCTCATGCACACACTCTTTCTTTGTCAGATAAACAAATAAATAAATAATCTTTTTTTAAAAAGCAATACATAAAGAAGAAAAATATAGTTGTAATTATACCGTTTCGAAAAAATCCATGTTTAACCAACTGAACCACCCAGGTGCCACTTAAAACTTTTTTTTGACATGAGTCAATTTACATAAGAATTCAGTTATGTAATTAATAGGTGAATAAGTAGTAGTCAGGAAACATGATTTTGGTTCCTAACATTTATCTTAAGAGTTGTGAAGTCTCACATTTGTGGAAGTTAGAAGATATTTACAATAGGAAATATAGGTTCTGTGTTTGTCATGTGCTAGGTAGTCACATAGTTCTTGAATGAATAGATAAATGAATATGAAGTAGATTAAGGTAAGGATTATTAATATAGGTCTAAGTGTTCCAGACTGCGAGCCTTCAAGGTCAAGGACTCTGTCTTAAATTCTGCATCCCTGTGCCTGGTGTACTGCCCAACATTTGCAGAATCTATAATCTAATTCTGTGTAGCAGGATTATGGGAGATTTTTTGAAGAAGATGCTGTTTACATTGACACCGAGGAATGACATTGGCAGGAGTTTAGGAGGAAAAGTATTCATTCAACATGTATTTAGTGAGTATTTGCTCTGTACCCAGTACTCTTCAAGGCTCTTATCTGGAACAAATTCTTATGGAATTCTCATGGAATTTTCATTTGTTCACATCCCAAGCTAAAGGGAAAGTATGAACTAGGAGTCGGTGGCAGAAGGTTCAGAGGACAAATCTAGGTGCCTGTTTTGCCAAGAGCTGCGGGTTTTTCTGTTTGTTTGTTTTTTGTTCTTCAGTGCCTGAGAACTGAGGAGCTGAGGGTTTCTAAAGATGGCTGAGGTGGGGAGTTCGGGGAGATGGAGCAGCGGTGTGTCCTCACTTCAGCCAGAGCAGCTCTCCTTCTGTTGGCTTTGTATATTGGTGCTCTCTACGCCAACTCCGACGTAGGTGGGATGTGTAGATCTAGTGAATGTTTTCTCACTCCTTTTAGCAGAACCATTTAGAAAGTTCACTAAATAATAAATGAAACTGAAATTATTCTTCTTTAGGAGATGGGGTAGGCAAGAGTCTTGTTCAATCCATACCTCCTTCCCTTCCAAGGAGCTGTCTGGGTGGTCTAGAAAACCACAGAGTGGAATAGAAAGCCACTAACTGAGCACAGCTGACATGAGAATTCTACATTCTGCCCGGCAAGGCCATCTGCTTGGGGACTGAAGATTTGTAGAGAATGCAGGTTTGAAATGATTGTTGGAAAGAGTCACATGGCGGTTTGACTAGAGAAAGATAGTAGGATTGTTGGCATTAGTCAGCAAGCTGTCTGTTGCTAGGCTTATGGTGGAACCATCTGCTTCTTTAGGGGATTTTCTCCTGCAGTACCCAACTGTCGGAGGTAGGAAGAAGGTGGACTGTTGCCTGCCTGCAGGCTTAGGTTTTTTCCAGGTGGATACAGTGCAAGTGCAGAGGGACTAAGGAGGTTCAGGAATTTGGCAGGAACGTCTGGGGACATGGAGGATGGGGTAGGGAATGTGAACTGGATTGGAAGCAAAGAAGGAAAGGAGGAGTGAATAAATAGGGAGAAT